CACCAAACAGAAGCAGATTGTTAAAAGTTGATAAGATAAAACCCCTAATTAAAACCCCTCCGTTTTCAAGCACAGGCTGGACGACCATCTTTCGTGTATGTTGCAGGGCGATCTTTCGGCTCTGCTCCTGCAGAGTGCAGGGGGTTGGACTAGATGGCCTGCAAGGTCCCTTCCGACTCTGACATTCTATGATTCTATGAAAAGCCTGGGTGAAAACAAAAAAAATATGTTTTGGCCTGGCACCAACAGACAATAAAGTGGCTGCCAGATGAGCCTCAAGGTGGTGGGCATTCCAAAGGCTAGGTGCCCTCACCAAAAAAGCCCTGCCTCTAGTCACCAGCCTGCCTTGCCTCTGAAGGCGTGCACACAGAAGGCAGGACTTGAGAGTCAGATGGGCTGGACAGTATGGGAGAAGATGGTCCTTCAGGCATCCCGGCCCAAAGCTCTTCTGAGAACCGCTTGAGAGAGAACAGCTCTGAGAGAACTGTGGGTTGCCCAAGGTCACCCAGCAGCTGCATGTGAAGGACTGGGGAATCAAACCCTCGGTCTTAACCACTACACCAAACTGGCTCTAATAGTGGCTTGGCTATGACATTTGGGGCCAACTGAAGTTTCTGAACACTTTTCAAACAATATCAGTAGTCCTGATTTCCTAAAAATTATTCATGTTCTCCAGTCCCCTATCCTGAGTCTAACTCTTAGGGAGTCATCCAAACTCAGTTATTACAAGGCCTGGGAATAATTGCAAGGTGGAGGAGAGCTGTGCGCATTCACTTCCTGCCCAGCGAATAGTAAAACGGACAGAGAGGGAGAGAGTCACATCCTCTTTTCACTGAGCAATGCTGAACATATAATGTGCTCTGGAGACGTTGGAGCGAGGGTTCTTCTGGGTCAAGTCCCAGTCCCAGGAAGCGCATGATGCAGCGGCTTGGTAATGCTCAGCTGGTCAAGCTCCAGTCAATGCCAGGATGCCAGTCACCAGGTGGGACTTGGAGATTCCCTGGAATTACGGCTCTTATTCAGACTACTAAGAGCTGTCCCCCCTGGAGAAAATGGCTGCTTTGGAGGGCGGACTCTGTGGCATCATGCCCCACTGAGGTCCCTTTCCTCCCCACGCTCAATCCCCAAATCTCCAGGAGTTTTCCAGCCTGGATCTGGCAAGCCTGCCCTCCTACCCTCCTCCGGTGGCCGGGGGGAGGGGGACCCTAACGAATGACCTTGTACAAATCCTTGTGTACACCCTCTTGAGTTCCATGATGGGCCGGGTTTGATTCCCCACTCCTCCACTTGCACCTGGCTGGATGACCTTGGGCAAGCCATAACTCTGGCACAGCTGTCCTCGAAAAAGAGCAGTTTCTGTCAAGAGTTCTCTCAGCCCCACCTACCTCACAGGGTGTCTGTTGTGGGGAGGGGGAAGGGGAAGGAGTTTGTAAGCCGCTCTGAGACACCTTTGGGTAGTGAAGGGCGGGGTATAAATCCAATCTCTTCTTCTCTTCCCTTCTTCTTCTTCTTCTGCTCCTGGTATAGTTCCCCCATCTCTTCCTCTTCAGCTAATCAATGGATGCACATGGTAGAGCTCTGATTTCAGTGCTGCCCCAACCACATGAAAGACCATGACTGCCTAGGCAAGGTCTAGATCTAATGGGCTTAAGTTACAGGAGATTAGATTATGGTAGAACGTTAGGAAGGATTTCTTAATGATAAGACCTGTTTGGCAGTGGAACCGCTTACTCAGGGGAGTGATGGGTTGCCCCCTTGCTGGAGGTCCTCAGTCAGATGCTGGAGAGCCATCCAGTTGGGATGATTTTGTTTAGGATTTCCTGAGTCTTGGAAGAGGATGGATGAAATCAGTGTCTCCCAAACTGTGGGTCCTCCTGACCGAAAAACTGGGTGGCAAAGCCTGTGTTACTGGGTCCCAGGCTTTTGCACGTTTATGGATTTGCGCGCTCCCTGTTTTACTACCATGCGCAGTAAATCTGGACTTGTGGGTCCCCATGCCCAAAAGATTGGGTACGACTGGGTTACATACACAAATGCTGTCAAGTCGCAACCATTTTACGGTGCCCCCAGCAAGGGGCTTTCAAGGCAAGGGAGAAACGGAGGTGGTTTGCCATGAACTTCTTCTGCAGAGTCATCCTTGGTGGTCTTCCATCCAAGTACCAACCCTGCTTAGCTTCCAATGTGTAATGACCCCAGCAAGGGGCTTTCAAGGCAAGGCAGTAGTAGAGGTGGTTTGCCATTGCCTTCTTCTGCAAATCTTTGGTGGTCTCCCATCCAAGTCTCCCACTGGCGGACCTCCTGATGACACCTAGGTTTTTGGCCACTGTGTTGGACTGGATGGGCCATTGCCCTGATCCAACGTGGCTTCTCGAATGTTCTCACCAGCCCTGCTTAGTGTCTGAGATCTGACGAGGCTATACCGGGCTTGCCTTCCCTTCCACCACTGGATTAGGTGGCCTATAAGCAATGCTCCCTCTAAGCTGTGGAGCCTTGTGAGCAAGAATTCTACTTTGTGAGCTGCTGGCACTAAAGTTGTGAGTGAACGATTTGGCTACTGCATCGATTCGTTTGCTCTGGAGCCCTCCTTCCTGAGCTAAGGCAAAAATATATGAGCCAGAGGCTACAAAACCGTGAGATGGCTCACGCTAACTCAGCTTAGAGGGAACACTGCCTATAAGACTCCTACCAGTTTTATGATTCCGTGATCATGTCCTAAAGGGGAGCTTACAAGGACATCTTGCTGGCCACTGTGGGTAACAGAACACTGGACTCAAGGAACTACGGTCTGATTCAGCCGAGCCGTTCTTATGTTCTCATATTCAATGCAACAGGTGTTAACTACCTCACACAAATGCATGAAGCTGCCATATACCAGCCCTGTATACACCACCCTTCTGTGTGCTGAATGAATGAATAAGAGAGAGAGAGAGAACTGGCACTACGATGTGGGCCCTGGCCAGCCTTGGAGTAACCATCAAGCGAAATAACGTGCTCACAGCACCAAGGGAACGGCGGCACCACAGAGGTCTCTTATTGCTTATATTGCTTACTGCTATTTAATGTTCAATTTTTTAAAAAAGTTTATATTTAATATAGCTGTGGGGGTCTGGCCTGGAAGAAAACTGAATTTTCAGTCTCTTATTTCACCTTCTGCACTGAGTCTCAATGGCTGATTTCGCACTAGAGCTGCCTCGCAGTTGCGCCGCCGTTTGCCCTGATACTATTGGGCAATTTCACACCTGAAGCTGCGGGGGCTGCATTTTGACTCGCGGCTTTGCCCGATTTCCCCCGCAGTTTCGGGAGCCTGTTTTTTGAGGATCACGAAACTGCGGAGGAAATCGGGTGAAGCCGCAGGTCAAATGCAGCCCCGCGGCTTCGGGTGTGAAATTGACATAAGAACATAAGAGATGCCAATGTTGGATCAGGCCAAAGGCCCATCCCGTCCAACACTCTGTGTCACACAGTGGCCAGAAATACCAGGTGCCATCAGGAGGTCCACCAGTGGGGCCAGGACATTAGAAGCCCTCCCACTGTTGACCTATAGTATCGGGGCAAACGGCGGTGCAACATCGAGGCCGCTCTAGTGCAACATCAGCCAATGTCTTGTCAGTGAAGCAACGGGAGGGCCGAGGGGCACCATTGTTGGGCTGTGCTCTGGGCATCAGTTGGCCTTCATCCGGCCCTGGTCTCCACCTCCATTTTGGTCTGTGAACACAGTAGGGTTGCCAGCCTTCAGGTGGGGCCTGGAGAGCTCCTGGAATTGTACCTGACCTCCAGACCAGTGAGACCAGTGGCTTGTCCTGGACTCTATAGCCTCGTCCCCTCCCCTCCCCAAACCCTGCCTTTTCCACGCTCCATCGAGTTTTAACAAAAAGTAATGTTTTTTTGGTTTTGTCTTCCAGAGGAATTCAGTAGCTCCTTCGGCAGGCCAAATACCATGAGAGGATTTTGAGGGAAGCAAAACCAGATTTAAGGGGATGCGCAAAACTTCGTGGTGGTGGTGATACAGTCTGGTGTGGGAGTTAGAGAGTCGGACTACCATCTGGGAGACCCGGGTTTGAATCCCCACTCTGTCGTGGGAGCTGGCTGGGTGACCTTGGGCCAGTCACTCTCTCTCAGCCTAACCTAGAGAGAGTGATTCAAATGTGGAATTCGCTGCCAGAGGATGTAGCGAGGGCCACAGAAATAAACAGCTTTAAAAGGGAATTAGATAGATGCGTGGAGGATACGTCTATCAGTGGCTACTAGCCATGATGGCTGAGGGGAACCTCCATATTCACAGGCACTAAGCGTCTGAATCCCAGAGCCAGGAATCAACATTAGGGGAAGGCCTCAGCCTCTATGCCCTGTTGATGGCCCTCCAGAGGAACTGTTTGGGACCACCATGTGAGAGACAGGATGCTAGACTAGATGGACCACTGGGTCTGATCCGGCAGGGCTGTTTCTATGTTCTACCTCACAGGGTAGTTGTTGTGAAGATCAAATGGAGCTGGGTTTGGGCTCCCATGGGGGAGAAAAGGAGGATACAAACAAATAAACAAACAAACAAATGTTCCTAAAACACCACTTAATTTTGCCTGAAGCGAAATTTCACTTTGCGTCTGGTGGCTCCTGTTTGGGCAAATCACCCGAGGAATGTCAAAGAGTTTTAATTCTTCTTAGGTGGGATCTGCTCACCTCCTTGAGGTAATTAAAAAAAAAAGGCCCACATCTAATCTTGACCATCCTGAACGCCAAACAGTCACGTTTACCCTACTGTGAAAATAGCCGAGACCGGCACTGCGAGCGAAAGGATGTCCGATTGTCATTTCATTGCTGACTAAGAACGTGACTGGAGGGAAAACGGGGTGAGGCCCGGCTCATTCATCTTTTTCAAGTTGCTCTGTCACCTGACAATTCACCCCAAAGGCATCTCCACCTGGCAGGGAGGAGCCAGGCCAGGCCGATGAAAAGCGTTCAGCTCCTCAGGGCTTCTGCTCACAACTGTCCCTGCCCGAGCCTTCTTCAGCCCTCGAGGGAGGATTGTTCGGTGCTACTGTGTGGCAACACCTGTTGGAACCATGGCCGGGATGCGGACCTTCCAGCTCATTCTTTTGTGTCTAGCACCAGGTAAGGCTCGCTTGGATGGGGAAGACTGAGGTGACCACAAACTGCATTTTTGCAGTTTGTTTTGGTTCGTTGTTGAATCATGAACCGAAACACAAACCAATATGAACCGAGAGGCTGGTTTGTGAATTGAACCAGTTTGTGGCATTTTGTGACCCCCCTGCTTTCTGCTCCCCACAGCTTTTGGCAGGGAGCAGAAAGCAGGGGTTGTCCCTGCAAAGAGCAGCGGGGAGCAGAAAATGGGTTTAAATGGCTCAGAGCCATTTAAGCCCCTGCTTTCTGGTCCCCCCCAGCTGTTTTTTTGTGAAGAGCAGAAAGCAGGCGTTGAAGCAGGGGCTTAAATGACTTTCAGTGGTTTAAATGGCTTGTCATCAATGGCACAGGGCTAGTTCATGTAATGAACCCATGTAGTAAAAATGAGTGATGTGAAGTGTCCTGTCCCCTCAAATCATATTTCAACTCACAATTAAAGGCTCGGGGGGGGGGGCTCTCTTTTTTTAACTGAGCATTCTAGCTGCAAATCACTTGCATGGGTACGTTCTTGCATGGTTGTTTGGACACTCTGGGTCATGTTCTAAGGAAGGTGTTGCATTGCCTAGGCAACTGTGTGGTGAAGTTCCCTGTTGGTTGGTGGATGGAGGCTTCAAAAAATGGACGGACAAAGGCTTTGTCTTGCTAACATTCTTTATGCATTTGCTTCTGTAAGGCCACATATTTTAATGAGGTACGCCCTGCCCCTGATGGTGGGCAGTTGGCCACTTCCATAGGAATTCGGTATGATCTCAGCCTGCACATCAGACGCTATCCTCTCTGTTTGTCTGGTTTGATGATACATCAATTTTTGATCATATTTGCCAAGCTCATATCAGTAGATACTTCTCCTGGATTATACCACCTCAGCAAGCATGCACATGTGTGTGGAGTTTGTACACGTGTGTGTGGCTGTGTGTGAGAGAGAGGTTTGGATGCTTCCTCATGGAAAACAAATTCCCTGCACTTGGACACCTAGTATGTCAAGAAGTAGGCAAGATCTTGCCCTTATTTAGTTTACTAGGTATGGAGTTTGTTTTAAAAAAAATATAAGATCCCCTATGACTGTCTGTCTGAAGTCATGCAATCCAGGCACATTTTTTACTACATAATTTACATGTAGCATAAATTGGTGTCAATTGCAAGTAGACAAGCAATGTCACTGAGATTGGATTCTGCAAACTCATGACGCGTGAAGCTGCCTTGTACTGAATCAGTCCATCAAGTTCAGTATTGTCTACTCAGACTGGCAGCCGCTCCCCAAGGACTCAGGCAGAGGTCTTTTATATTACCTCCTGCCAGATCCTTTAACTGGAGATGGTGGGGATTGAACCGTGGAGGGCAGTTTGCCACTTCCATAGGAATTCGGTATGATCTGAGCATGCACCATCAGAGGCTATTCTCTGTTTGTCTGGTTTGATGATACATTAATTTTTGATCATATTTGCCAAGCTCATATCAGTAGATACTTCTCCTGGATTATACCACCTCACAAGCATGCGCATGTGTGTGGAGTTTGTACATGTGTGTGTGGCTGTGTGTGTGAGAGAGGTTTGGATGCTTCCTCATGGAAAAAAAATTCCCTGCACTTGGACACCTAGTATGTCAAGAAGTAGGCAAGATCTTGCCCTTATTTAGTTTACTAGGTATGGAGTTTGTTTTTTAAAAAATATAAGATCCCCTATGACTGTCTGTCTGAAGTCATGCAATCCAGGCACATTTTTTACTACATAATTTACATGTAGCATAAATTGGTGTCAATTGCAAGTAGACAAGCAATGTCACTGAGATTGGATTCTGCAAACTCATGACGCGTGAAGCTGCCTTGTACTGAATCAGTCCATCAAGTTCAGTATTGTCTACTCAGACTGGCAGCCGCTCCCCAAGGACTCAGGCAGAGGTCTTTTATATTACCTCCTGCCAGATCCTTTAACTGGAGATGGTGGGGATTGAACCTGGGACCTTCTGCGTGCCAGGCAGATGCTCTACCACTGAGCCACAGCCAGATTGCAGGGCATATGCCAGTTTTAGTTTGGCCAAGATACATGACCTGTTATGTTAGCAACTCACTTTGGATCCACCAATTTGAGTGTCCCTTTGTGGAAGCGCTTTCTCATGCTCGGCAGCCAAATCTCCACTCATGGTGTCAAATGCCCCTCTCTCTTTCTCCTGCTAGTTCTGGTACCTGCTGTGAAAATCAAGGCCAAAGGGCGGGAGGTGATCTACCTGGCCAAAGGTGATTCGGTCAAGCTGGGCTGTCCATATGAGTTGGAACCAGAAGACAATGGCCCGAACACCCTGGACATCGAATGGACACAGATGAACTCTGACCCCACAAGCCTCGATAATGTGGTGAGTGTGTGCAGTCAGCCCCTGGAGGGGATGGCAGGTTTGAAGAGTCTGTTTTTTGGGGTTAGGAAAGAATCAAGGTGGTTTGCTTACAGTCTTGCATGGTCTACTTTTTTCTTCACCGGAATCCCTGTTGCTTGCATTCTGAGATTCCACAGCAAGTAGTACGAACAGAGACGGTTTTGTGCCTCTGTGTGTAAAGTGCCATGAAGTCACAGATGACTTATAGTGACCCCAGCAAGGGGTTTTCAAGGCAAGAGGGAAGCAGTGGTAGTTGGCCATTGCCTTCCTCTGCAGTGTTGTCCTTGGAGGTTTCCCTTCCAAGTACTGGCCCTGCTGAGCTTCCCAGATCTGATGAGGTTGGGCTATACCATGCTGTCTTACGTCCCACACACAGGCGGACAATCAAGCTATATTGTGGCCATCTTCTCTGCCTCTCCAGCACTGGGAAGGCTGGTAAAGAAAGCCTTTCCTAAACAGTGGGCAAATTTAATAATGACCGGAGCTAGGGGTATGAGTGCAAAAATCCAAAGGTGATTTTGGTGGCCTTTCTTGATCAACACTTCTCTGGAGAATAGATGTTTCCACACCTTCCATAAAGTTCTGGTGTATGGCCCACTTGCAATGGCACAAGTCAATTCGCTACCTTTCTGTGTTGATTCAACAGTGCTGTTCTCTGGTTCCTGCCCACCAGATCCTTAGCTACCAAGGCCAGCAAGTCATCCATCCTGGATACCCCTACATGCAGCAGAGAGGGGGTTCTGCAGTTCAGGAGCCGCGGCAATTCAGTCATCCCGGTTTACAGCAGAATGTGTTGGTTGGACAACCGAACGGCCACCCTCTTGGTCCTGTCGGCTCATTCGGCGACTGCTGCTTTGGCCTGCAACAGAGAGTGAATTTTGCGATCCCGGACCCGAGCCAGTACGATGCCTCCATCAATCTGCAGAATGTGGAGGTTACCGACTCGGCAACTTACGAGTGCAAGGTGAAGAAAACCACAGTGGCCTCCCGCAAGGTTACCGTCACCGTGCAAGGTGAGTCCTGCCAAATAGTGACTGCCCAGGAAGGATATTTTGGGGTTGTGGTGGATGTGAACTCAAGCAATAGAAAAGAGCAAGAGTCCAGTAGCACCTTAAAGGCTAACAGAACTTGTGGCAAGGTAGGAGCTGTATCTGAAGCAGTGAGCAGTGACTCACGAAAGCTCCTCGCCTGCCACAAATTTTGTTATTCTTTAAGGTGCTACTGGACTCTGGCTCTTTTCTACTGCTACAGACAGACTAACATGGCTGCCCATCTTGATCTACCTACTACCTCGTCTTTCTTCATCCGGAGATAAGCAAGGAATGAATTTGGGGACTTGTCACATGCAAAGATGGGCTACCACTGAGCTGCGACATCTCCCTAACTGCATGCTAGGGAAAAGGGTACAAAGTTAAAATGCCTGGTATCATAGCACCCTTGCTAAGATGTACAATGCAGCCACATTTTGAATATTTTTGTACGGCTCCAGTACATCTCGAAAAGGCTATTGTAGAAGAGGAAAGGGCGAAAGTGAAAATGATCAAGGTGCTGGACCAGCGTCCCTGAGGGGAAAGACTAAGGCGTTTGAGGCTTTTCACGTCAGAGGAAAGATGACTAAGGGAAGATGTGAGATTCACTTGTCTTGTTGTTGTGTTACTATCTTTTGACCTTCCACTCTTCTTTTTCCGCTTCCCCTTCTGTTTCTGTTCCTCTTTATAAAATTATCTTGCTTTTAAAAAAACCACTGTAAAACCTGTGGCCAGAGCTTTGTCCCTTTTGTAACAGTGCCCAGAATGATAATAAGAGTAATACTAGTAGTTGTTATTACATTCGGAACAGTGTGAACAAAGAAAACTATTTATCGTTCTGGCATTTTTTTAAATAAACTTTTTATTATTTTAACATTAACATAACATGGACATGAACATTGACATCCAGTGACAGTGGTATAGCTTAAAGCAATTACAATACATAACATACACCAAACAAACCAACAAGCTAAACTCACCAATACAGAATAAAATATGGTGCAGATAGATAGGCAGGTATTCCTACTGAATAGGCTCTGAATCGAAGTATATTATTTATTTACTAACCCTCTTGTTTATTTTCCTTGTAAGACTGAAATACTTAAAGTTCGCTCTTGCCAGTCTCCAGGTGGGGCCTGGAGATCTCCCGCAATCACAACTGATCTCCCAATTACAGAGATCTAGAGATCAACTGTAGTACTAGGCGATCTCCAGGTGCCGCCTGGAGGTTGGCAACCCTACTTTGTTGTGACGACTGAGCAGGGCCATTGCTGTATTTTCCAAGGTACCAATGTCAACTGTCCTGCTCTCTGAACGGATCTTCCCCAGCCTTGTTAACGGCCGTCCCTTCTTTCCCTCAGAGAGACCATCTGTTCCCCAATGTTCCATAGCTGGCCGTGTGGCCCTGGGCCGTGACGTCACCCTGCGCTGCTCCTCCCAGTCCGGGTCAGCCCCCCTCATCTACCAGTGGTCCAAAGTCGGTAGCTGGATGCCCTCATCAACCACAAAGGGTAAGAACCAGTGACAAATGAGGGACTGATTGATTGATTGATTTGGCTTCACTTATACCCCAATGGGGACCCAAAATGGCTAGCATCATTCTCCTCTCCACCATTTTTCCTCACAACAACCCTGCAAGGTAGGTTAGGCTGAGAGCAGAGGTCATTTCGGGGGGATCGCGGGGGATGGCCAGTGCCGGATTTACGCATAAGTTAAATAAGCTACAGCTTAGGGCCTCGCAATCTGCTGGAGCCTTATTTGTCATTTCAAAACCCTTTAATTATGTAATTATTTATGTGATTTTGTAAACACATCCTTTATTATTATTTTTAATAAAAATTAAAAGACAATATATTTTCAAATATTAAAAAGGCGTATAT